TTTTCTTCACTCCTCTCTAGCATGGTACACTCATTTCTACCTTTCTGATATGGCTCATATTATATTCTCTATTTATACTTATCTGTCATAGTCTGTGAATTTAAGCTTTGTTTTTCTGCCTTCTTTGAAGTTTTCTTAAAGAATCTAGCTAATAAATTTATCATGTTTCTTTAAATCGTTACAAATTCGAACACCTTACCAGGGTTTACAAGGCCCTTCTGTCCCTTGCCTATTCCTCTGAATTCCTCTTTTCTCCATCTCCCCTGTCTCACTGCACTCTAGCCACACAGGTCTATTCTAGTTATTCTTGAACACACCAAACTTACTCTTTCCTAAGGGTCTTAGTACTTACTGTACCCTCTGTTAGATTCATGTGCTACTTCTTCTCTCATCTTATTTCATTTAGGTTTGTTTAAAAGTTACCTCTTGAGAGACCTTCTTTGGCCAATCTAACATACAACATAGACTTTACTTTCCCCTATTCTCTCTCTCCTTATCCTATTTTATTCTTTTTTACAAGAACCTAATCACTAGTTGAAATCATACTATATTATGTTATATATTTGTTTACTCATTTATTGTCTGTATCTCCCATTAGACTTTCAGTAATGTGAACTCAGGAATCTCATATATCTTACATCACTGTCATATCCCCAGCCCTAAATAATGTCTTGCCTATAGCAGGCATTCGATAAATATTTGTTCAATAACTCATGAATGAAATTTTATTTGGCACTTAGGTAGGTACTCAAACACAACATATTTGTAGTCTATTAAATGCCATATTTTATGCTAGATGCAAGGGACATGTATATATATAGTTCTTCACACACTCTGATATAGGAAGAAAGAAAAAATACATTTTTAATATGAAAAGTGCATATATATGAGCGTCACGATACTCGGGATGATGGTGGCACAAATGAGAGACTGACAAGTACTTGAGTGGGTCATAGAGAGCTTTCATAAATAGCTTTTCCTATTCAGCTAGAAAATCTGGGTTAAAAAAGAATTCTAAGAAGAAACAGCATGGGTAAAGGCAAAAAACCATAAAACAGCATGTAAGTTTTAGTGGAATTCAAAGAGTTTATAGAGGGTGGTATGGCACGTGGGTGTTGAGGCACCCTGCTGTTTTATGAGTATATGTCTTATATGCTCAAATTCACTGTGAACTAAGGACAAGGACCTCTCATAAACTTACCTTCCATATTTCTCAAATAATAAACACTAACGAGCATTTTATATGAATGGAGTTTTGGTGTAGTTAATCCTAGAGGGAACAACTGGAAGGACTTAAAAATGGTTCTCCTTGGTTTTGTTTAATCTATATGGTTTTAAAAGTGAAGCTGTTTAAAAATTGTAAAAACAATAAAAATCAAATTGTTCCATTCATACTATTAACTTACCATACAATGTTCTCAGAAAAGATTCATCTAAAGCATTGATCAGAAGAGCCTTCACAACTCTTTCAAAGTGAGTATAGTGGTCACTAAAAGAATCTGAAATTAATTTTAAATACATATTAGAATCTAGTAGACAAAACATTTCCCTAAATACAATAGGCTCCTTTCCCCAATGCTAAGAAATTAAAACTATAAATAGCAGAAATAACTTAGTCACCCTAATTTTAGAGCTGCCTCGGTGACTTGTTTAGTCATTGAACGAATCTCCATTTTCCAAATTTATTGGCTTCCAATCCAGTTTCTAGTTGTTATTTCAAATATTCAATTCTTAAACTTATCAAAGAAAAACTGTTCAGAGAATATTAAGAGATATGTTGTGAAAAAAATCAAAATCATCCCCTGTGCACCTAAGTTTAATTATCAACTTGACAATTAAAGTGAGAGAGCCAGAAGGAAAACCTCCAAAGATGGATTTTTAATATGCCCTATTCTGTAAGACATATTACATATGAAATTGTCCAGGAAACTGCTACCCTAATCAGAATCCCAATGGCTGGAAAAACTCTATTTCCCTTTCTGTTGCCTCAGATTTAGAATTTTCTACATCAATTTAGAAAAATTGGATCTTCTCTTTCCCATACCACGTATATAAGCCTGTGTTACCATTAATCCAGTCTCGTACACGAAATTATCTGTTGTGACAGACCAGGAAGTGATAAGAGAGAAGACCACTACCATTCCCATTATTTGGGGGTCAGGGTTTACTATGGCTGTGGAAATGTTCTGTATCAAACATGACCTCTTCCTTGATCCAAACTGTCACCATAGAATATGTGCCCTGCTCTGGGTACCTGTGAAGACATAGTAAGGGCAGCCTGAGTCTTTTAGGAACTATGGAAGATGTCTGACAAAGAATTAAAGCAAAAGAAGACCTATTATCAGCAACCATGAGTGGATTTTGGCTTTCCTTCTAGTTGAAGTGAAAATAAAGATGGAAAAATCTTTTAACTTGTATTTTGGTTACTA